GCTCCGTTTGGCGCGCCAGCCGATTTTTCAATCCCTATTTGGGAGGCACGGCACGCATCCACCCTTAGGTAGCAGGAAGACACTCAAGAATTTGTCTTTCTGAGAAACCTTTTATTTGGCACAATCAACGGCGGAGTTTTTCAGAGCGAAACCGTTCCTTCCTCCCCCTACTGAGAAAAGCCTCGAGTGCAGGCTTCTGCCGCGGCTCCCGAACAAAGCCGTGCTCGGAGGCAGGGCCCGCTGCGATGCAAGGAAATTTCGTTTTTCTCAGTAACACGTGGGTGTGGAAAGCCCAGCCTTTGGATTTGCAGCGGCCTGCTGCCAACTTTTTGTTACTAGAAGCGGGCTGACCACAAAACTTTCATTGAGAAGGCTTCGGTAAACAGCCGGATCAAAGGCTGAAGTGATCCCCCCGATCGCCGGGGCTGCCGTCGGGGCCGGGGTTACGGGCAGCAGCTGCACCTCGGAGGTCTGAGCACTGTTCTGAGGCTGGAGCTTTGCCAGAAGCAAGGTCGGGAGCTGAACCGGGAACCCTGCAGCGTGGGGACAGATCATTTCGCTTCCCAACGCACGACTGCCTTAAAGAACCAGGCAGTGCTGTTGAGGCCCCACAGGAGCCTTGGCAAAAAAAAACCCCTAAGAGTAATAATAATCCAGCAGCACTTGGAGCAAGATATTCCACTTCTGTGCCCTATAAGCAAAACCATCCTATCATTAGCTCTGCCCCTCTCTCAGGGAGCGAGTGACAGCAAGAAGCGGGGAACCTTTTGCTTTCTCCTTACCCAACTGCTCTGTCCCAGCAGCCTAATTCTCCATCTGGCTCACTGCTTCATCCTGGCCCTCCAGAGAGTTTGCTGGCTGAGGGGTAGACAAGTGTTCCAGCTCGTAATGTCCGTTCCTCGCAGCCGCCGCGCTGCTCGGGTCACCCTCTCCTGCTGCCAGTTTTTTACTCTTCTTGCTCTCCATGATCTGCTGGAGCTGATGCCCAGCATAGTGTGGTTTGGCGGTGAGCGCGGTGGTGGGGACGGCGAGCCCGAGGATTTCGGGTACCATGTAAGGCCGGAGCCAGCCCACCAGCGGGGTGCTGCCGGGGGTGTAGTGGGTTTGCTTGTGATAGAAGAGAAGTCCATCGACCTGCAGGAAGGAGAGAGAGTGAATGGAAGGCCAGAGCTGGAGGTTCTTGCAGGTGGATGACAGAGCACCGGACGACAGCGTCGCTCTCCCTTTACAAGCCAAAACTACCAGCTGGATCATTTTTCCTCAAGCAGTGCAATAAATAGCGGAAGGGAAAGAAGAAACCTGCAGAGCTCCTGCCCTGAAAGATCAGTGCAAGGCCAGCAACCGCCGGATGACTTTAAATCTTCAAAGGCAAACAATTTCGGCCCAATGTCGGCACGGAGCAGCCCTTTCCCCCTGGTTGCTACGATGCCATTCTGCAGAAAAGCCATCAGGTTCCTGAATAAGGCAGCGCACAGAAAGGCTGCTTTACTGGATTAAGCTTATTTTCAATAATACATTTGGAGAGTAATTAGCCAGAGCGCATGACGCCAAGGAGCCCCGATTCGTAACGCTGCTACAGCTCTTTCAGCTGCCTTATGCAAAATAAATCCTTCACGTTTCCCAAGAGAGAACTTCTCCAGCAATCAATGACAGTTAAGGGCACTCAGGACTTTGAAGGTTTAGGCCCTTAACTCTTGTGCTACTATTTCCACACTCCGCAATACTGCAGCTGGCTGACGTTTTCCCCGCCACGCTAAGGGATTTTCACACACACACCCCCACCTCTTCCTGTGCTTCCCAGGGGTGTAACTGTGCAAGGTTGGATCCTGCTGGCAGGCTGACTAACGCTGGAGGTGGTGCTCCTCTTAGCTCAGCCTCATGAGCTCTTACTCTACGAGTAAGGGTGGCTGAGTGGGCAGAAGAGATGAGAAAGAGAGCCCACCTCGGGCTGAATTGCTCCCAGGCCCCTCCCCGAGCCTATAGCCCTCGGAAAACATACGGCAGAACGGCACCTATATCGGCAGTCGAGGTGGTATCTGCCACCATGCTGGAGTGTGAGCCAGGCTGAGCAAAGAGTAGCCTACATCCATCTCTGCTCCGCAGATGCTAACCTCCAGCAGAGAGGACAGAGCTTCTTGCACTACTCTGTCCCTAATTTTCAGTCACTTGCAAAATAATCCCAGAAAAAGGGGATTCCTGTGCTAGGAAAACATAAAACCAGAACAGTAAACATCATGATGAGCTTGTGTAACCCTCTGGATGTCTAAAGCACAAAGCTTCTCCCTCCCCCTGCCTCCCGGGAAGGCCTGGGAAGAGCAAGATTCTGCGGTACCCAGGCACCACGCCTGCACATCCAGCCCATTCCTGCGGGTGTGCGGCACTTGGTGAGCAACGGGGATTCTCCAGCACCCACAGGAATGTTTTGCTAAAGATCAGAGCCTGGAAAGGCTTCTGCCTTCCAGACCGCTCCAAAAACCTTCCCCGAGCTGGAGAATTCTAAGGAATTCAGCCTGGTGGAGAGTTAGGTCGTGTTCTTCCTTCCCCTGAATTCTCTTAAGTTACTGCAACTCCCATATTCCTTCCAGTTTATTTAATTTGTTGGCCGGGGCCCTACCCTGAGTCACTGCGCTGACACCAGCCACATCCGAATAAGGGCTCACACTGTCCCTAAATGACCAAACCTGAGGAGAAACTGGCCTAGCAGGATTTCACGTTTCACGGCCATGCTTTCCAGATCTGAGGTGCTCAGTAGTAGACCCGTTCCTGTGCACCGGGGTTTCTCAGAGACTTGGGCTCCCTCTGCCTTTGTGGAAACCTGAGCGTTGTTCTACTCAGACCTGCAAGTAGGACGGTAGCTCTTAAGATCCACTCCAAAAAACACTTTCAACTCAGTGCCAGTCAACTGATCCAAAGTCCGCTGAATATAACGGATCGGGTCCTAACTCTAAGGTTACAGATTAACTCTGAAGACCCAGATCTGAGAGCAGTGACCACATCTGTTGCCGCCACATGCACGAGATCCTTGTAAGGATCACAAGATGCTGGCCCCAGGCATGAGAAGACCTCTGTTACACTGTGCTATCTACGGCAGGGCTGCACTTGGCCTTCTGCAAAGTTTTATTCCGTTACGTGCTGTCGGTGGAAGCTATTCACGGGGATTTCTTGGGCTCCCTCTTGTGGCACATCACCAAGAGATCCTCCGTTCCCTTGGCTCCTGGAAGCAGCACCACGGTTTCTGTGGGGTTACCAGCTGCCTTTGAGCCAAACGACATCACGTTTGACGCGTTGGGGTCGCACCCCGATGAACCTGGGAGAGCAAATCACAGCTGGATGACACAAGAGAGTCTGATCAACTCCATCTCCCTCCGCTGGCGTTTCGCAACCATCTCCTTCGCAGGCCGAACCGTTTCTGCGCTGACCGCAGTGGGGAAATACTCCTCAGCCTTTTCTCACGGGAGCAGATGCCTCAGAAAGGCACGAAGCTTTCTTCAGCAAAGACGGGAATGACTGTTTCTACAGGAAACATGACAGGACGAGAGGGAATGGCCTCAAGTTACGCCAGGGGAAATTTAGGTTAGATATCAGGAAAAATTTCTTCACAGAGAGGGTTGAGAAGTATTGGAACAGGCTGCCCAGGGAGGTGGTGGAGTCCCCATCCCTGGAGGTGTTTAAAAACCGTGTGGATTTGGTGTTGAGGAACACGGTTTAGGGACCCTGCCAGCGCAGGGTGAATGGTTGGACTCAATGATCTTGAGGGTCTCTTGCAACCAAATGATGCTATGATTCTACAGAGGCACTCAAGAACATTTCTAATTGAGCAAGGCAGCCGTAGGAAAGAAACCTGGGATGCCTTCTCGACACTCCCCAATCCATGTTGGGAGCGGGGTCTGGGACTTTCCGACTCTCTCTAACGACTGTCCTGGCTTTTATAAAGAGAAGGCAAAGTCAGCCCTCACCGCCAAATTAGCGTTCCTTTAAATTTAAACCTGCACTTACGTTAATCGCTAACTTGGGCCGAGAGAGCACAAGAGGCACAGTCAAATCCACGTGGCTTTTGGCTTAATGGGACAAGCAACCTCTGTAGAGGCTGTTCCTGATCTAGGGCTGAGACTGGGCACTCTGCAGGGACCGCTGCAGCCAGCGGAGGAGCTTCTGGCTCCCAGATGCGTCAGTGACGCCGTGCCGGAATGCCACCACCTCCTCCTCCACCCTCTTTCGCTTCAGTGCCAAGTCAGCCAGGACAGCCACCAAAAGCAGCCTGAGCTGCACCACGAGGGCCTGCGACTTGCTGCTCGCGACCACGCAGAGCTGAACTGGCTGGCACACTGAGTCGCCTTCTCGCACGGGTCAGCAGAGAGGGCTGAACAGCACAACAGCACCGACTTCTAAAGCTGGTGAAGCAAAAGCGGGTGTCCTGTTCAGCTGCTCTCGCTGGGGAAAGAGCCACCTCAAGAGCAAGCAGGAGCCAAAGGCAGGAAGCTGCCGGTTCTGTACTGAAGCAAAAAGCAGAGCTTGCACTGTCCCCTCCACAAGATCCAATAGTAGCAGGGCAGACTCATCTGAGCATCTCCCAGCCAGTTCTACTGCAGCCACCCGTCCCCAGCTCCAGTATGTCTCAGACACCCGTCACCAACATCCAAACCCCTCAGAAACCATCAGGAGCTTACCACCACCCTTCTCTTTCTTTCCTACATGACACAAGACAGCTGGGTGCCTTCCACACAGACCGATGGAAGTAGCTAGACAGAAACAGAGAGCCTGTGACAGAGGTCAGACCCAGCCCTGGCCACCTCACAGAGCTCTCGAGAAACACCACCAGGTAAGGGAGCACACTGCAGAGATCCTCCTGCCTGTACTCACGCAAACCCACCCAGGACAGCAGACAGGACCAATTTTGGCCCTAAAAAGGTCAGCTGTCCATCACGCTGCCACGCGAATGCAAGCTGGAAGCAGTCTGGGTGGCCGCATCAACCCCGTCCTCCCCAAGGGCTCTTTCAGACACCAGTCAAGAGCAGTGACAGCAGCCCAAACACGGGGAACGCTACGGTTTAACTCTCGCTAATTAGTGCGGTTGGTCGCAGCCTATACCTGGTGACAGTAACAGATCAGCCACGTGCATAAAAAGGCGTCCCTTTCCCATACGGGGAAACAACAGTGCAGCCCAGCAAGCTTCCTGCAGGCCTCAGGAGCGCACGGCTCCCGAGCCAAGGGGATGCAGCTCTCTCCAAGCACTGGCAGATGTGCCGCAGGGCTGTCTCTAAAGCTCAGGTCCAGGCCCCGGCCTGCGTGTTCTCACCTCGAAGGGGAAGTCCATAGCCAGCACCTTACACAGGCTGTCCGAGGTGCAGGGGAAGTTCTGCAGGCCCACGAATCTGAACTGAAAGAGTAAAAGAGGGTTAGAAGAGACAACTGCACGGCCTAAAGCGGAGCGAGTCACTGAATGGAGCATTGGTGTGGAGGCAGCTACGAAGGATGATTTCCCCCAGTGCACAGCTCGCCACGAGAGAGAGAGGGTGAGAGACAGGCGTCAGGTGGAGCAAGCAGAGAGATCTCAAGCAGGGACCACATCATGAAGCTGCTGGCCTTCCTGCCACAGGGTGTCAGGGGCTCAAAAGCAAAAATAGAGTCAAAAAGATAATTAGACTGGCTCCTGAAAGGCAGGTCCTCTGGACGCCATTAACTCCACGGTCTAGGTACAACCACTGGCTGATGAAGTCAGAGAGAACATGACGGGCATCCCCAATTCCTTCTCTTTCTATAGCGACTGGTCTCTGTGGTTACTATGGGTTACTGGGACAGAGAGACCTCTGATCCAATTCAGAACAGCAACTGGTAAGCAAATCCCAGATCTAGAGACAAAATGACAGGACCGAGTGTTGTCCACCAGTGCCGATCATAGGGTAACTGTGAGTGTTACCATCATCCCACTAGGGTAACTGGGAGTGTTTGCACAGAAACCCACAAACATGACGATGGGGTGGGAATGGTTGTGGCAGAGAATCCCTGCCATCTCCAGCAATGCTGGATAAAAGCACATACACTGCTGCAACTTTACAAATCTCATTCCAGAAACAGAAGATGATCTTTAAAACAAGACCCACGGATTGCCACCACGAGGCCCAGACAGCATGAAATTTGGAGTGTCCAGAATGATTTATTTGAAGTATTTTATCATCCCAGTTCCAAATGACCCCCTCTCTGGCACTTAATGAGAGGTGGAGATAGCGGAGACTCGGCACACAGCTCCCACACGCTCCTGCTACATTTTTTCCAAGCATCTAAGACTGCGGGAAGGACTTTTCAGGAGAGCTGACCGTGAGATGCTCCTTTAACCAAAATAGAAAATGATGACCTCTGGGCAGGATGCAAAGCAGACAGACGTCTGCTCCAGGCTGCTGGCTCAGCCGAGCAAATCTTTCCACCCAGGAAATGAACGTTGAAACGACCCTCTGCTTCATTAGGTAGCCGTCTCCTGGATATTCCCATTAGAGTCAGAACAGGATGTTCTCCAAAAACAGATACCTTCGCTGCTGGCACAGGAGCGGTCATCCCCGTTTCTGACTGATCTGCTCAACCGTAGGAGCTGCTGTGCTTCGCTGTGTCTGAGCACGCACGGCGGCCACACAGCGACCAGGTCCTGCTTTGCAAACTGCGCTCCGTAACCCAGGCTGCCTCATCTTTTAACCGCCTGCTGTAGCGGGGGGGGGCC